ACTTATTAGGCAAATGCATGAATAAATCGCCTTAATGTACCTCTATAGTATCTTCACGATAAGACGCTACCACACAGTGCGGATGTGACAACATGCCAAATTACTACTTTGGGCGAGGTTTGAGCGAAATGTAAATTTTAATTTTTGGCCAAAGAAATGGAGTAGTAGCAGAATGCTTCAATTTTAGTGATTTTTATTATAAACATCTTCTCCAATGAGGATATGAATTTCGACAGCACATATTCTAGAAGATACCAATTATAAGCTTCATCACCACCAGCCTACGTACCTAAAGACGTGATGGTGAGGACTACCAGTAGGTGGCCTCTCATGTCCTGGAAGATTTGTTGTTATTCTCTTCAACTGTTGTGCACCAGCATACTCGAACGCTCCTCTGCTGGCCTCTTGAATACGCTGGAAACCTTTTCTCAAGGTGTTGTCAACCGGAATCATTGACGCCGCTTCAGAGTCTAAACGAAGCCAATAACGTGATGTGAACAGCAGGAGGTGTAGTCTTCTCTTGAAAACCTCCTCAGTAAAGGAAACTTTTATAATGTTAAACAATACCCTTGCAAAACATTTTGGTAAAAGTGGGATAGAGTAATGAGCGTCAAGAATGATTTAATAGTAGGTGAGAAAAATGTATTAACAATAGTTATAGCTCAATCAGCAAATTCAAATTATTGATAAAAATGTAACAACAAAAACCAACCGTCACGATGAGACAGCATAGGCTTCGAGTGATTTGGTTCATCATCATCGCTGCCTGAGTATTCATATTCCGTGTCATCTAAACACAATTCTTGAGGCAAGACTGCACAGAACATAGAAAAAATGAAAATAAGTAAAGTGCTGCCATATACTATCGTACAATCTTCTGAATCTGTGACCGCCGCAACTATGTCCCCTTCAATTTCACCAATACACACTGCAGAAAGAGCCAATAATGATCAAAAAGAATTAGCAAATGCAGCCACAGGGCAAACTAAAAGTCAGGTGAAAGTTTCTGTGAGAGGAAACGTGAGTAAGGATGTTCTAGAAGTTCAACGATGCTTGTTAGGCTATTTTTACATATTTCAGATACGGCTAAGCTCCGCAATGCGACTTCAATGATTACACGGAGTTGCAAATGACTAGGAGATGCTTTCTTGCATTTTTCGTTTGAATTATGTACGTTAGTACATGGGAACACATCCTAATGTAATGTTTACTGTATCAGCGTCTGCAAGATCGTTGGAAATAAAGGGTAAGTAAATAGAAAAAGCAGCACGCAGACAAAGTGCATTTAGAAGAATGATGTGTGAACGATCAGAAATTCTTAAAGCACTTGCCCTTCTTGTTGATACGACGATGCCTATCAATATGATCTTTAATTGAGATCCTAATACTCCT